TTGGCCGACAAGTGGATTTTTTGTGTACGTAACACAATATTTTTGAGATTGTTCAGGTAGGACGATTGTAGGACGAGCAAGCTAAAAAAAAAGTTCTTAACAAGAAAGTAATGACACGTTGAGTTAACCTTTTCAAAGAACAGCTGGTCGCACTGAACTTAAGTTCAGTAATGTCAGTGGTAATAGCCTTTAGAGCATGACGAGAAAATAGGAGAAACACACGTCCATCGCTGGGATAACACACACGGGGCTGGGCGACGTGGGTGCCATAGCCGCGGAGCGGGTGCGAGGCGCGTAGCCGCAGCAAACCCGCGCGGAGAGCCCGCGAAGCAGGGCCGCGCGGTATTTGCGGAGGCGGGCCCAGCGCTGAGCTCACCAGCGAGCCGAGCACTACACTTTCCAGAACATTATATCTTCATATTGCGAGCGCAGCGAACCGCGGGGGCGCCGAAGGGGCGCCCAGCCAAGCGAAGCGCGGCTGGTCCCTTTTCTGCTGTGACCTCTAATCGTCGATTATGTCTTATTGCGACACTCAGAGGGTCAAAAGCATACATAAGTCAAGTCAAATGATTTGCTGTGTGCTGAAACAGTAAATACATGTGTTTGGCATGTTCTGTCGAGCATGACGCATGCGTCCAAGTGACGCACCGGTTGGACTACATGTATAGTTGATACGTCATGTCATTGATGGTTTTACTGCTACTGTAGATAGAGTACGTGCTCGATAAAGTGCAATGTACATGCACCTACAGAGGATGTTTGACATCTTATGTTGCAGTGATTGGGCAGTTGTACTATAAACTGAGAAGCATGTGCAATACAAAACGTACTGTATCCACTGATAGAGGTTTTGTTGCACTGGAGAACGCAACACCATCAAATCATTGACGCATGCCAGCAAATTGCTGACAGCAATAATCAACTTGGAGCATCCAAGTTGGGTGCGACTCCTTGATGATCGAATCGATCACGGCCGAACAGCCCCGAATTCTAGCAGTCGCTCAAATTTGAAACTGATCGATAAATATCTTACATGTACAGTA